ATTGTGGCGGCAGCGGTGCGATGTGCTGCGCAGCCACCTGCTGCGAGCAGCCGCAACAGAAGTGGGCTGGAAGCCACATGGGCTGCTGGACGGGGCTGTTGGTGCCGCCGCCGCAAGGCGAGTCAAGTATCACAAAAAATATAAGACACCCCAAAATTAAGACCTAATGCCACTTTTTGAGACAAAAATAATATAAGACAGGGTCTTACTTTTGGGGAAACATTGTATATGGAACATTTTGCTAGTAATTTAGCTAGATTAATTAGGGGACAATAATGGATGGTTAATTAGGGGACAGTAATGTTTTTTTTTCTTTTTATCATTCATACACACACACACACACACACACACATATCCCCGCCTTTATTATTTTTACAGATACTCAAGTTAGTAAGCATACCTAGTACTGCTTCTCCCATTTTCCCCAAAACAACATCACGGTGGGGTAGACTGGAATGAGAGAAAATAACTGGCTAAAGCTCACTCAGCTGTCTTTCACAGCTAAAGTTAGATTTGAACTCAGTCTCCTAGTTTCTAGCCTAGTCCCTTAATCACTAGACCAAACTGACTCATGAGAGAATATGCATTAAAAAATAACAGACAAATATTTAATAACCTGTGTCAGGTATAAGACTTCTATCCTGCAAATTCAAGAATTTTAAAAGAATCCGTTAGTATTATCGGGAAGGAAATTGAAGGCATATTTTACATCTGCATATTTATTTTGACTGTCCATGGAGAGTTGTCTAATCAGGGTTGCCCACGCAGCATGAAATGTTTCAGGTTCTCCCACTTGTCTTCCTCAGCTGCAGAAACTATATACTATTAAAATTCTTCTGTCTTGTAACCTTCATTGCCCCCAAATCAGTTGAGGTTTGTGTGTGTTGAGATCGTAGTTGGATCAATGGATTTGTTCATTTTATTCATTTTCTTTTGGACAAAGGGGGAAATTCCCTACCTTGGTAACAACAGGAATAGTGATTGAGATTTTCCTATCCAAGAATGAGCAGTTTCATTTAATAATATTTAAGTTAAAAATATATAAAGACCACAAAGAATCATAATTTGATCTCATGACTCAGATGCCAATATATGTCCTCTTTTTCCCTTTTTAATTCTTTGCTTACTTTTTCCTGGTGACTGAATATTCATTAAATAATTTGATGGAACAGTCATTATTTTCTTGAGATATTTGTCTTTTTGCCATTGTTTATTGAGCTGTTGCTGTATGAGGACTTGGTTTCTTAATGTTACTGACAGCATATGCAGGGCCAACATTTATCTACCTCCTGTATTGATCTGCTGGTAGAGAGATTGCAACTAATTAATTTTCTTGCAAAAGGGTAACTGAGCTACTGAAAATTGGAAATCAGCTGTAGCTTTTTATATGGATTCAAATGCATTATGTATCTATTTAAAGGAATATGCATCTCTTTGACCACCCGTAATAGAATTTAAATACCTTTTTATGTAAACTTTATGCTACTGTAGTACTTTCAATTGAATATGATTTGTTTCTAAGTCCAGTTGTGGCCAATAATAGATATGCCAATTTATCTTTGATTTCTGTCATTTAATATCCTGATATAGTTGCCTTCACTTTTTCCAGGCAAGCACAAATGGTAAATTGTACCTGCCTGGCAGCATATATACCGGTACTCTCTTCCAAGAAGGTCATCCATAATGCTGTGATGTGCTAATACCATGATAAATGCAAATGATTTCTCTGTCAGATTGTGGAAGAATGAACTTTTTTTAATGCAAGAATATATAATCTGTAGTTTTCAGGTCATATCAGCTTGCCAGCATCCTATTGTACCCCCTACAATGGATATGTTTCTTTCTTTGTTGCAAGACCGAGAGATTTTAAAATATGAAAGGGTGCCTAAGGCTTTCAGAGGCTTAATGACCCATTTTTACACCTTACAATGCTATGAAAAATTGGGCTGATGTTTTGGTGCTCTGTGTGTGTATTTAAGTGTGTGTGTGTGTGCATTTCAATACAGAAATGCAATACTGAAAAGGCAAAAATTAATATCTTAGGCTAAAAAAAAATTGCCTGCTACCTTCAAAGAAATATTAAAAATGTAAAGCTGGTGTGCTGTATTGAGATCCTATGCCTTCCATATGATATGGTGTTTCTTAGCATTACAGTGTGTAGAAAAAAGAACCAGAGACACTGAGCAGCACTTTAGCGATTGGAAATGGAAAGCAGACCCTTTACAACACAGCCTTCAAATAAGAGCACTTGGAAAACTTTGGTAATCAGCTGACAAGGTTTTCCCAGTGAACAACTTGAAGCTGAATTGTGTGAAATTTCACCATCTACTGGACCCAAGCCTGATTAAAAGTATTACCTTCAAAATTATTTCCATAGTTTTCTAGACAACATAATGGCAATTGTCATTCAAAAGCAAAAACATTTAATTTTTCAATAATGGGCCACAGGGTGGTGCAAAGCTATCACAACATGATGCCAGCCGGGGAACTGTGATTCTTCTTTTTTTCAGTTCATGGGCTTATATCAAAGGGCCTCTTAATTTTTTAATATTCCTATGAATTTAAGAAAAAAAAAGAATAAAGGAGGGAATGGGGGATTTGTATCGCTCCTGTATTGCTACATGCGATTGCAGCATATTCCCACAGATATGGGAATTGATATGTTAGATCTACACACGTGTGAAGAGACATTAAGCTTGGGATTGTATGTGTACTGCTTTAATAGCAGTGTTACAGCTCCACACTTAACATATAGTTACTATAGCAACTGAGGTTATAGCAACTGATGCTCCCTTAGCAACAGTGCCAGGAAATAATCCAGTACCAATTAAAAATAAACTGTTAGCTAGGGGAGTAGGAACAGCAATGGGAGAAGTAAGATGGGTTGGTGTTGTTGTTTTTTTGTGAATTGGTTGCTTTTTCATCCTTAGACTTGGAGCACTGGCAGGGCCAGGAAGAATAACCCTTTTTTCTTTTGAACTTGGTAGCTGACGTTATTCTCCTAAATTGGTAAGTTAGAAAGTATCTGCTTGGCAGTATGAGCCTCAGCCTCCCTGAAAAGTAAATTCCCTAGAGAGAAGTGAGGAGGACTCCCCAGTATGTCATATCATTGCGTACCACAGCTTTCTAGTCTTTATTAGCATACTGATTAAAGCCAGTAGCAATATAGGCTCCAGGGGAACTTCCTAATGGGCATAAACCTATATTAGAAAGACAAACTCCTATTACTGTATCATGAGAACTACCTCTTACTCTCCCCATTCCCCTCTCCATTGTTCCATTCTTCTCTATTGCTACCTTTATAGCAGATAAGCAAGCAAGGATTAATAGAGTGGGGGCTTTTAATGCAAAGGTGGAGATGTGTGATTGTTTTAAAAATCAACAGAAATACACTTAGGTCATTGTATAGGTGTATTTTGCCTTCGATGAAGACATTGGGGAAGTTTCTGGATTAGTGTTCCAGGGGACTTTTTATTTTTACATTATATGTAGAAAATATTTTACCAGTTGTCACAAGTCAGAGAATAGTCACAATATTACCTGCTGTGTTATAAGTGTAACATTGTGTGACATCTTTAAAACACCTTGGGATGTTGTAAAGAACCAAAGTAGTTGTTATATATATACTACTAAAACTCTCCTGGCTGTAAGCTTTAACGAGGCAAAATGGTACATGAATGCTCCAACACTGGAAGTTTTTAAGAAGAGACTGGACAGCCATTTGTCTGAAATGGTATACGGTTTCCTGCCTGAGCAGGGGGTAGGATTAGAAGACCTCAAAAATCCCTTCCAACTCTATTATTATTATTATTATTATTATTATTATTATTATTATTATTATTATTATTATTATTATTATTATTATTATTATTATTATTATTATTACTACTACTACTACTACTACTACTACTACTACTACTGTCAAGGTACCTCAAATGGGATAATTTATATAATATCAAGACTCCTTACGTCAGTGAAAATGAAATTTAAGAAATTCTTGCCATTTCAGCAGCACTGTGGTGCTGCCATTTTGCACCACCACCATGCTTCTGTAGTCATGTGATCCTCATTTACAATGTTCCTTGATATCTTCCCACAAGTCAATGGGGACGCTTGAGAAGCTTGTAGGGAGAAAGTCAGTGGAGGTCATGTGGCCATGGCTGACAGTGGGACCATGGCAAGGAATTTGGACTTGCATTCTCTGTTTAGATGAGGAAATATATCTGAAAGTATGAACAACAGGTCACAAGTTATCTGATAGTTTATAAAAGTGATTATTGTAATCTAGAAAATGGCTTGAGGATTAGAATTATATTGGAATCTCTAATTGATATTGGAATCTCTAATTTTATTGGAATCTCTAATTTTCTTCATTATAACTGATTTTCTTCATTATAACCTTGCTATAAATTGTGTTAAAGAAAACTTATTTACATGATTGACTATCCTGAAGTGCTAGCTCCAAATTCTGTTTGTTTACATTTTATTGGGGTAAAATTAAAGCAAGTTAAAAGAGTTTGAGTAATATAAGAAATTAACTTTTTTCTTAAATGGCATGCAAATAATGCAGAATGAAATACAAAATGATATCTTCTTGATCTCCCAATATATTTGATGCCCTGCATATATATTGTCCTAAAATGTTTGGGAGGTTTTGCTTTATTTGATACATTTTTTAAAAAATGTTTATTGTAAAACAAGTAATATATTATTTGTGTATAGTGTTAACTAGATATTATTAACTGATGATTTAGGTAACAAACATTTAAAGATAGGGAAAAATGTTTATATAAATATTAACTCTGGTTTCTAAAAGATTACTGTTAAGAAACATAAGGTTGCTGAGTATAGCATTGATAAACAGCTGCAAACTGATTTAAATTATTTTCTTGTATAATAACAGTTTGTATCATAAGCTATAGTAAATAGTAAAGTCTCCACTATAATTAATTGATCCATGCATTTCTCTCTCTCTTCTCCTCCATTACCCCACCTCCAAGTAACAAAGCTACAGGTCAGCAAATCAAAGCGGAGTATAGTTCTTGTGGCAAATAAGCCTATCCCTCTTAATTGCTCTGTCAAGTCTCAAACCAGCCCAGATTCACATTTTGCAGTCCTATGGTATGTTCATAAACCTTCAGATACAGATGGGAAGCTCATTCTGAAGACCACTCACAGCTCTGTATTTGAGTATGGCACTTACGCGGAAGAAGAAGGGCTAAAGGAAAGACTGCAATTTGAGAGGTCACTCTCAGGAGGGCTCTTCAGTCTGACAGTGCAGAGGGCACAGGTCAGTGACAGCGGTAGCTACTATTGCCATGTGGAAGAATGGCTGCTCAATCCTAACCATGCCTGGTATAAATTGGCAGAGGAGGTTTCTGGCCGGACGGAAGTCACTGTCAAGTTACCAGGTAATATTTCTCAAGTGATGGCAGACTATGCATAAATAGATAGGAATGGGGGGCTCTGAAATCTTTGCATGTAAGTAGTTTGGTTCCTCTTTTCCTTTTCTGGTCATTTTTTTTTGTTTATATGCCACCAACTCCAATATTGATTCATGACAGCTTCCAACAAATTAAAGGGATATTCTTACTTTCTACTGGCTGGCATTTGTTGTCCTTAACAGCATTGAAAGTTCAAATACCAAGCAACTTTCTGGACCAATGCATAATTGACCAGTACTGCCAAGTTTTGTCTTATAATAAACTTCACTTCTCCTATCCCTCAAGGTGTAGAATGCTAATCTGTTAATTTATTTATCTTTCCCTGATTCCATGGCAGCTTACTATTTAATAAAACCATAACACAATACTAAACAGAAATTATAATTTTTTAAATTCTAAGAAGGAAGTTATGTCCTAATAAAGGGAAAGTTCTTAATCTCTGGTGAATGCCAGCTGCTCCAGATATTCTGACTAGTACATTTGCAGACCCTCAGTTATATTAGTGGATGTTGTATCTGCAGCATTCCCATGTGCTATTGCATAAGACTCCATATTGCCTGCAGTATCTTTCCTATTGCATGGTGCATATATGTATATACAAACATACATATACAAAAGCATGCAGGTATATATTGTATATATATATGCTTTTCTGATGCTAAACTATGTGAGACAATGGGCTTAATACAAAGTATCTTTATTAGTATGCATTGAAGATAGACAGACATACATATAAACATATATATACACATATATAAACATATATACATATGTAGGTCTTTGGTTATTCGGGTTTTCTCCCGCGTAAAATTGGAAGTGTCTTGGCGACATTTCGACGAAGTCCCATTTGTCATCTTCAGGCTGGTGTCTTCAGCTTCGTGCTTCTAGGAGTAATGTGTGATCGTAGCTGTTTCTTCCTTTTAACTGCCAGTGGGGTTTGAACTGATTGGGTGGGAGCTTGGCTGTGTTCCTTAACCAATCAGAACACACCTCCACCCAATCAGAACACAGCCAAGCTCCCACCCAATCAGTTCAAACCCCACTGGCAGTTAAAAGGAAGAAACAGCTGCGATCACACATTACTCCTAGAAGCACGAAGCTGAAGACACCAGCCTGAAGATGATGAATGGGACTTCGTCGAAACGTTGCCAAGACACTTCCAATTTTACGCGGGAGAAAACCCGAATAACCAAAGACCTACATACAAACACCCGTGAAAACCTCAGAAAACATATATACATACATACATACATATATATACACACACATATATATACATACATATACATTTACATATACATACATATACATATATATGTATATGTATATATATATATATATATATATCATTTAGCTGGGCAAAACTGCACATCATTATTTTCAACCAAGGTACCGTAGCACAAATGGGGTAACTTACAGAATGCATCCAAACTCCAGAACCTATGACTTCTGTGGAACTGAAATTTGACAATTTTATAAAGTATTTATAAAACATTTTATGACATAATACAAAATGTCATAAAACATATCCTATGGTCAGCTCCTGATGTTTGACTGCTCTGCTGTTCAACCGAGGCTAATTTCAAGACAGAGACCTCTCTGAATATTTTCTTTAGTTTTCACATAGCTTAGAAACTCTGCCGTTGTTGAAAGCACTGAGGAATATAGAAAGAAAATATCTCTGGAATGATGATTCAAGGGTCTAGTTATTTTTTAAAAAAATATTTGAATCCAGGCTCCCAGTATAAGTTCACAGGTGGAGTCTAAATCAAAATGAATATAGTGGATATAGAAAGTCTACACACCCCTGTAAAAATGCCAGGTTTTTGAGATGTAAAAAACTCAGACCAGAATAAATCCGTTCAGAATTCTTGCCACCTTTAATATAATATATAAGCTGTAAACAATTCAATCAACAAACAACTGAAATCTCTTAGGGGGAAAAATAACAATAAGAAACTTGAATAATGTTCACACCCTCTTGTAAGTAAGGAGATAGCTAAGAATTAGCCAATCACATCCAAACTGATATTAAATACTCAGTATACACCTCTCATCAAATAAAATGCCTCTGATCAAGCCCACATAAAGTTCAGCTCTTCTAGTAGGATTTTTCTGACATTTACACAGTTGCCTCTTAGAGCAAAAGACATGACCTGCAAAGAACTTGCAAAGCATGAAAGGGATCTCATTGTTGGAAGGTGTGACTTAGAAGAAGGGTACACAAAAATTACCAAGACTATACCATGGACAATAATTAACAAGTGGAGAAAATACGGCACAGTAGTGACATTACCAAGAACTGGATGTCCATCCAAAACTTACGATCGAACAAGAAGAAAACTGTTCCTAAAGGCTGCCGAGAGGCCTACAGAAACATTAAAGGACCTGCAGGAATTTCTGGCAAGTGATCTCCCTTATTCTTTATTCTGGGCTGTAGGGTAGAAGCCTTGTGTCATAAAGAAAAATATCCAAGCCCAGCTACATTTTGCAAAAAAACTATCAAGTTTGACAAAAGAACATGGAAAATGTATTATGGTCTGATGAGATCAAGATTGAATTTTTTGGCCATAATTCCAAAAAGTAAGTTTGGTGCAAAAACAACACTGTATACCAAAAGTACAGCATACACACAGTGAGGCCTAGTGGTGGCAGCATTATGCTTTGGGGCTGCCTTTTTTCAGCTGAAACTGGTGATTTAGTTAAGATGGAGGGAATTATGAAGAGTTCTAAATATCAGTGCATTTTGGTACAAAACCTTCAGGCATTTGTTGAAATGCTGAAGATGAATAATTTTCAACATGACTACGACCCAAAGCATACTCCAAATTAACAAAAGAATTACTTCATTAGAAGATCATAGATTTGGAATAGTGCAGCCAGAGCCTAGACCTGAATCCAATTGAAAATCTGCAGGGTGAACTGAAGAAAGCTGTACACAGCTGATAGATTTGGAATGCTTTTCCAAGGAAGAATGAGCAGAGATTCCCAAAGTAAGATGTGCCATGCTCACAGGCTCCTACCCTAAAATACTGAATGCTATCATAAAATCAAAAGGTGCTTCAATAAAGTATTAGTTTAAGGGTGTGCATTTTTATGCAACCATGGTATTGTACATTTTTACTGTTATTTTTTCTCTTCAAAAGATTTCAGTTTGTTTTTCAGTTGGATTGTACAGCTTATGTGCTGTATCACAGTTTGAAAGAATTCTGAAGTGCTCTATCTTGGTCTGATTTTTACATCTCAAAAAACTGGCATTTTAAACAGGGTACATAGACTTTCTATATTCCCTGTAGTTACAGATAATACATAAAGCATATCAGAGCAAAGTGGAAACTGTAGAAGTATAACTAGTGTTTGGGCAGTTCTTTCTCAATTAATAATTATTTTTTGTATTTTCCTAGATAATCTGTTGGAAGTCAACAAGAGCCAAAAGAACCTAACCATTTTAGAAAACGATTGGGTAACACTAGAGTGTCTAGTTACTAACCGGAGCAGTCAAGCTTCCCAGTTGTCTGTGGAATGGTATGTGTGGAAATCTGGTGACCCAGAGAAAGCAGCAGTTATAAAGCTGACAAGGCAGGCCACTCTTTTATATGGAGAGTTAGCAACTCTAAATGGTTTGAAGAGCAGGCTGCACCTGGAAAGTCCTTTGCCAGGCCTGTATCTTCTTACTATCCAGAACATGACACTGCAGGACAGTGGGACCTATGATTGTCGAGTGGAGGAGTGGCTGCTGAATCCTACGAATACCTGGTACAAACGAGCAGAAGATCTGTCTGGACTGACAACAGTTTTGGTGAAGAAGCCAGGTAGATTATTCATTTACTTGAAGGGTTGCATCACAGATAGAGAAAGCAGCTTTATTTCTGCTCACTGCAAATTATTCTGTGAACTATCTGGTTGCACTGAATGTATTTTAGTCAGCAACTAGATCAGGGGTGTCAAACTCAATTTCATTGAGGGCCGCATCAGCATTGCGGTTGCCCTCGGGGGGGCGGGTGTGTGTGGCCAGGGTGGGTGCGGCCTACTGGGTGGGCGTGGATGGAGTGGGTGTGGCCTACTGGGTGGGTGTGCCAGCTGTACATCATTCGCGTCAAGGGTGCCTGTGGGCAGGAGTGAGACAGATCTGAGGGTCTCTGGCAGAAGGGGGTGGGACCAGGGCAAGTGCCAAGGTATGGTCCACTGAAGGAGCCTCACTGTTCCTCTCAGGCCATGCAGGAGGACTGGATGGTGGTGTGGGCTGCCAGGAGCCCTAGACAGCAGAGGTCAAATGCCCAGCCTGGCCCTCGAGCACCTGTGGCACCAAGTCCAGCCCCACTTCCCCAAGGGGGCGCCCAGCTGCACTTACCTCCTCCTCAAGGCTGCTGCTGCTGTGCGTGCTCTCTTTAGCCAGGTTGCTCATGATGGGTACGAAGGCAAAGTCAGAGGGAGGCCCATTCCCTCTCCATGGGAGGAGACCCGGCTTTGTATCCAAGGTTTCCTTAGCAATAGGATGGGAGACCCCCAGGATAGGCCAGGAGGAGGGGGCAAGGGGATGGTGAAAGGGCAGCAGGGCAGGACTAAGGCAGGACTTCCCTCAGACCCTCCCTCTCCTTCTTTCCTTCCTTCCTTCCTAAGTACAGAGTGGTGGGAAAATATTTGAGATGAGGGAGGGAGAAAAACAGGCAAGAAACGCAGCTGGGGAGGTGTCACCCTTCATGAGGAATGAAGAAATACACCATCGCCTGGAAGTGGCCAGCACATGGCCCTCACCTACTTCACATATCTGGCTTGGTGGGCTCTGTGGGAGGGGATGCCATGAGCAGCGTGAGAGTCAACGTTACCTGCGCAATGCCGCCCAGTCCCCAGCCTGCCCGGTTTCGGCAGGCAGCGGGGCGCTTTCCTCACAGCGCCAAAAGGCTGAACCGGGCAGCACAAATCCAAAAAGAAGCAGGATGCCGCCTAGCCCTCAGCCTGCCCGGTTTCAGCAGGCAGCAGGGCGCTTTCCTCACAGCGCCGAGAGGTTGAGCCGGGCGCTGCGAAGCTCACCAGCTTTGCACCTTGGTGCCTGCTGAAACTGGGCAGGCTGGGGGCTAGGCAGCATTGCACTTCTCATCAGATTCGCACCACCCAGCTCAGCTCTTGGCACTGTGAGGAGAGTGCCCCGCTGCCTGCTGAAACCGGGCAGGCTGGGAGCTGGGCGGCCTCGCGTTTCTTAGCAATCTCTGCAGCTTGTTCTTACCATGCATCGTTTGATCTCCTGGTTTCTATGCCAAGAAAAGGAACAAGTCCTTGCAGGCAAACCTACCATATTTTTCCGTGTATAAGATGTTTTTTTTTTCCTGCAAACACCCTGTTCAAAAATCAGGTGCATCTTATACAAGTGCAGCGTCTTATACACGGAAAAATAATGGTAACCTCCACAGTCCAGGGCATTCCTGTGTGGGTTGCCATGCCGCCTGGTGCAGGTGTCAAGCCCCTGTGGGCTTGCCACTAACGGGAGGGGGAAAGATTGTTGGCCAGCTGAACTTCCAGATTTGCTGGCTCAGCTGTCTGGTGCTCTGCCAAACAGCTGATTGGCGTGGAGAAACTCACATGCCAGAGCGTCTTATACAAGGGTGCATCTTATAGACAGAAAAATACGGTAATTTTGTGTCTCATTTCAGGAAACTGTATTGTGAAGGGAGGGCCATTCAGTCAAGAAATTCCAAATTTTGATTTTCGGCATTGGCACACGTTCTGTACAATTAGAAAAACCTAATTGGCCTTTGTATATTTTCAATTTATTCAGATGCCTCACTGCAAGTGGATGCAACAGTAGCCAACCTCACAGTGCCAGAACAGGACCATTTCCATTTGGATTGCAACATTTTGTCAGCTACCAGTCAGGATTCCCGTTTTGCTGTGACATGGTTCATCGTGAAAAATAAAGTCAGAAGTGGACAAACTGGTCACAAGAACGAAGAAGATAAAGAGGCCTTGTTAAGAGTAGGCCAGGATTTCGTCTTCAGCCGAGAGGCCAGTCCTTGGGAAGGGAGGCTACATTTTCAAAGACTTTCAGCCATGTTTTATCGACTGACTGTGTTGCAGGCAGCTACTTCTGATGCTGGCAATTACTCATGCCATGTGGAAGAGTGGCTACCTGACCCCAAGGGAGCCTGGTACAAACTTACAGAAGAAGATTCTGGTCTTATAACTGTTTATGTGCAAGATACAGGTAAGGTAATTATGATATTTAATGGACAGGAATGGGGCTTGTAAAATTTAGTGAGAATGTAACCTGAGAATATTTTGAGGGGTCTATATTAAATAAAGTGTTTTCACTTTAGTTAATGAAAATGATGGATTGCATATCACAGTTATTTCCAACCCAGTAGGAACTGCCCATTGTTTCAGTGTTGATTGCAATTGATGTATGCCATGCTGAGTATTGCAAGTAAGAAAAATAACCAAATAGTATAGCCTAAAAATATTGGTGGAAGTTACAAGTTATGCTGAGTGCAATGTAGGAGCAACCTACAAGTTAATTCACTCTGGGTAATCTAAATGCTTTTTAGATTTTATCTCTGAAACAAATTGAAGAAAATTAGCATCGCAGGAGCACTGCAGAACAATCTCTGGCATGACATGTTTCTAGCAATCTTATACCTGTTGCATATTACCTGGAATAGCTACTTTTCTGCATCAAATGTCATGCAAATTAGGATTTCCTAACTTAGAACCTTCCCCGTTATAACGCAGAGCTATGCAGCCTAAGATGCAAGACTGTACAGATGCCAAAAGCATTAAATAAGACCAAACTTTTGTTTTGCCACCCAACTTAATTTTTTTGATATGAAAAAATAATTGCACATACATATTAACTGCCTTACTAAGGAATTCAGGGCAGCTTCCATGGAGATCTATCTCTCTTCCTTAAACCAACTGTGTAAGAAAATGACTGATTTAAAACCAGCTAGTGAGTTTATATTAATAGGGGTGGAGTTGAATCTCGATCTCTCAGGACTCCACCCAGAAAATGGTATTCTGAACTAGCAGTGCTTTTTTTGCTCTGCTAAGACAAATGGCTGGTGTGGTAGCTAGGAGCTCGTCTCTATAGCTTATTCACTCCTGAATTAGAAGAGGAGTGACGTAGAATCCACATGAAACTCCTTGGATGGTCCGTGCCTGGCTTGGGGAGGTGAGATTTGGAGGGTTTCATCTCCCTGGTAAGCTCAACCAAAGCTCACATCCAGTCCGTGAAATGGTGTAGGGTTCCTGCCTGAGCAGGGGGTTGGACTCGATGACCTCCAAGGTCCCTTCCAACTTTATTATTATTATTATTATTATGGATCATCGCACAGTCAGCCAGATGTTCAGACTGGATTTGGCATTTTTGTCTAACTATCGAGTCCTTACCTGGGATAGGCAGATGTGGATGTTTGATGGTATTACAGATATCGTCGCAGGATGGAAGCAGTTCCTAGTAAGGCTGCCTTTTGCAATTGACTAATAGCGAATTTGTCAATGCCAATGGTGTTCAAGTGGTGCTCCAGTTGTTTTGGAATTGCACCTAAGGCGCCTATTACTATTGGTACTACTTTTGCTTGCTTTTGCCACAGTCTTTCTATTTCTATTATTATTATTACTATTATTATTATTATTATTATTATTATTATTATTATTATTATTATTATTATTATTAACAACCCCGCTTTTTTGCAAAGCATTTTCTTTTTTCTTTACTTTCTGCATGTTAGTTGCCGGCTATGTACTGGACTTTTGATACTCCCTCCTCGTGGACTGTTAATTGATTTAATAGTACCGGGGGTATGAGTGGAAATAGCTTATCTCTCCTTATGGAAGAAGCAAATGGCAACAAGTCGTCTTAGGCTACTGAGAGAATAATTTAATGATCTTTTACCAAAAAGACTACATATTATCAGTTTGAAATTTTTTTTTTTACCTTCATTGTATTTTTATTGCATTTTGTATACAACTCTCGGCTTTCTATGCTAAAAGTTTAGAATTTGTTTTTCTCTGCACGTCAGGAATTTGCATATCAACATTATTCTCCTTGCCAGCTGCTTTGCACTTGGAATTTTTCCCGTGACCTTAAAAAAATGAACTGTGTATTCTTGTTTGCATCTCTGCTGCCAGCAACTGGCTGTAAGAGAAGAATTGTATACATTTATAAAATGCCTCCTAAGAGAGGAGTAAAGATGTCAGATGAGCCCAGTGCCAAGCTTCTTATGGAAGTATTTGAGAAAAAGTTTTCTATGTTATATGACATCCAGCAAGAGATGAATAAAAAATCTGATAAAAAGTTTGAATTATTAATAACAAAGTTAAAACAAACCAAAGAAGACATGAAAAAATATACAGATCAGATTAGATAAGAACAGGTACAAGGTTGGATTCTTTTCATTCACATTTGCTATTATTGGATTTGAAACAGAAGGACCTTTTTTCTGAGACCAAGAGGAATTTCTGAAGGAATCCAAAACCTAAGAGATCTAATTGTAACAGAATCTGGATCTCTCAGGTCTTAGTTCACTGTACTATCTTTATTCTCCACAGTCTCATATTTTATTTTCTTAAAATTACAGGTACAGTATGGTACTTTCTCAAAGACAGTACTGTTCTTTTGAAAGCTTATAGCAGTGGTTCTCAACCTGTGGGTCGGGACCCCATTTGGGGTCGATCGACCATTTCATGGGGGTCGCCAAGCAAGGCTGTCCGCCATTTTTTTTGTCCGCCATTTTTTTCCCCCTTTTCCGGCGGGTGCCTTACCTCCCTTGGGCTGGGCCAGCTGGTGGTCGGCCTGCTCCGTCTCTGCTGCTTGCCAGCTACGCCTTGGCCAGCGCAGGGGGCGGAACCACGCATGCGCGGCACTCCCGGGCAGGGAAAGTCCTCGACTTACGACCGGTTGGGTAGTCCTCGACTTACGACCGGTTTAGTCCTCGACGTACGACCGGTTTAGTCCTCGACTTATGACCGGTTTAGTCCTCGACTTACGACCTGTTGGGGTTGCGGCATTAAAAAGGTTGAGAACCACTGGCTTATAGCTATGAGAGCAAAAGGAAACAAAGATCTAAAAATTAATTTCCCTTTGATTGCCAATCTATGACCTGTACATATGGCCATTTATACTAATTTTTTGTGATTGAGGAACACAGTAGCCAAATTTGAAAATTATAGTAAAAACCTTTTGGTTAAAAAGTTCTACTCACACAGGACTGATTTTAGCCTCACTTGGTATATTGCTTCTTAATAATTGTTTACAAGAGGTGGTTTGGTCTAGTGAAGGCTCTGGACTAGGTGCAGGAATATTCCAGTTCTAATCCTGTATTTGGCACAGAAGCCAGTTGGATGATTTTGGGCCAGTTCTTGTCTCTCATGCTAGGAAGACAATAATAGCTTTCTTTTGAAGATGTTGCCAAGAAAATTGTGTGGATATTAGAATTGAACTGGAGTTTGCCCATGTAGGTACCAGAAATCAAGATTGACTTAACAAACGAGATGCAGGCACACACACACACACACACAGAGAGAGACTCATAGACACAAATGTTTGGTATATACAGGGAAAAAAAAGAAATGTATTGATCTGAAAGTTTATTACTATCCTTTGTCACTCTTTTTTAGGTTCCTCTCTGCAATCTGTTATCTGCACCAATGACTCTCTGTTCTACTTCGTATTTTTTTATCCCTTTCCCATTTTTGGCATTCTCATCATCACCATTCTGCTGGTGCGATTCAAAAGCCGAAATTCCAGCAAGAATTCCGAAGGAAAGAACGGGGTCCCCTTGTTATGGATCAAAGAGCCACACCTAAACTATTCCCCCACTTGTCTGGAGCCTCCTGTTCTCAGCATTCATCCAGGAACTATAGATTAAATGGCAGAGTCCTAAGAGAGGTAAAGCTGCATCTGAAACCCAAAGGAGGTCTATTTTGTTGAATTTTTATTCACCATCTGAACTTTTTGGATACCAGCTTACCTCTGCTACACTTTTCTGTCATCTTTGGGGCTAGAGGAACCTGAACACCCCAGAATGCCTATGAAGAACCAGCCAACTGCGAAGGGGGATGGAATGTCCATTTGTTCACTGTATATAATGAATTTTCATACTGTTTCCTTTTCATCCAGTGTCATCATTTGTCTTCTGGGCTGTAATTCTGTTGCTCAAATATGTATTCTTGTATTACGCAGAGGACAGACTCCAGAATGTATTGATTAAGTTGGGCTCTGGTTGTGCCAAAGTGGGGCACTTTATTTTGAGTAAGCTTTTTTTTTATCAAATGGGCTCGTTTCAGCAGCTACACGTCCTTGGAGTGGACCAGAAAAACTGCATATTGCTTTTGCGAAATGAACCTAGGATCACTCCATACTGCATATTACGTGGCATTGTTTCTGCCACATCGGTCTGGATGTTTCTTACTATTGAGGACTGAAAATGCATATGGGGGAGGGAGAGTAGCTTTGTTTTTAGCTTCAAAAAGAAATTACAGTCCCTCAAAGGAAAGCTTTGACTTCCCCAAGGACAATTGCCTGTCTAATTCTAATGACCAAAAAGGCTCTGGTTTAAATATCCTCCACTATCACACTTAGAGATTGCAGCAGAAAAAATAGATCCTAATCTTGACCAAAGTTTAGGAAAAGCAGTGCAGGAGTAACTGCCTCCTTGTGTGGCCTGGCACTATAATAACTGGAATGTTGAAACAGAGCAGAGAAAGGGCTGACATAGTGACCAACTTTTGTTTCTTACAAATGTTGTAAGAAATGTTGTAAGAAACAAATGCACTGTCTACACAAAGAAGCTTACATCAGGCAAGAAGGGGTATGAGTGTTCTTCCTTCCCTCCCATATATGTATATGCTGCTTTGTTATTTCAGCTTTATTTTTACAATCCTTCATCTTCATTCCACCAGCCTTGCGTAAGCCACAATAAGTGAAAGTATGCTGGGCTAAGAACTGTTGTTCTTTCTATGAAAGGCACAGCATTAAGAGACCTTGGTTCAGTTCAGGTGGAATTCCTACTTCAAGTGAAAAAGCTCTTTCCATGTGCTGTCCAGGAAAATGTTTGTTATACGTGATGGACCAGATCTCTTGTGCCCTGATTCTAGCTGCAGAGACAGGGAAATTTTAAAACTTTACAAAAAAAAAAAAGTGTGTTTACTGTCTTCCTAAAAGTCTTCCTGGCACAGCTGGTTGCTACTTTTCATAAAACAAGTGAATCTGTGTGGTTCATAGTGTCAGCGATATATGCCAGCATGTTCTGCTGCCTTGACCTGAAGGTGGTGATCAGTGGTAAGAAGATAGCAATACAGCCGGTTTTTCCTTCCTGAAGAGTGAAAACTAATAGTTTTGCTAATTCATCCTTATTAAAGCAATTTGTGGGAATAACAAACTTGAGGAATGGGGCTTTAACACCAGTGCAAAGGTTTTCCTTATGTCAAGAGAAAGACGTGCCTGCTATACTAATATTAAGCAGTCTTTCTCAATCTGGTGTCTCTCGGATGGGTGGAGACTACACTTTGCATAATTCCCAGCCAGCAGGGCCTTTGGTTATGCTGGCTAGAAATAACAGATTTGTAATAAAACACATCTAAAGGACCTGAGGTTGAGGCAGGTGCTGTGAGGGGGGGGGAACATTATTGATCTAAGCGCTGAGATTTTGAAGAGTCCCCCACCCTTGTAACCTTCTAATAAAGCACCCAGAAAGTTCCCAGAACCAAATCTGCCTCTGCAAAACCTTAAATCTTATATAATGTGCAATTTGAAAAAAACAACAACCCATAGTTTTAGTCTGCCTGCCTATACTGTCTATTCAGAAGAGAGGGGATTTAAAAAGAAAATGAGACACCTACGCAACACACACAAAAATTCCTAGCTTCTCTGTACGGTTAATGTAAAACGTCTTGTACATATTCTGCTGGAGGGCAGGAGTTGTAATTGAGTTAAGGTCTTACAAAGGAAAGGAGGTAGTGGGACAATCCCTGCCCTAAACAACATTGCTCCTTATCTTTGCATTGGAAATGTTTTAAACTGACCTAGTAGTATCAATGCTTCCCTGCCAGCAATCCTCCTCTGCACGCCTGCTTATGGAAAGTTATCCCACAGCGACATCCAGTGGCTAGCTCTCCCATCTGTGGACTGTGGACTATGGACCTCTTGGGAAAGTATATGGATGTCATAAAGCCTCTAAATAGTGGAAGAATTGTCCCACAAGCAGCACCAAGGATCACTTGCAAATGACTTGTCCATTGTGCTGCCAAACTGATTACTAGTTAGAATGGGCTTTCTTTTTAAGACATGGACACCGCCTGCAAAAAGCTTTCACAAAGCTTTTTGGACCACCTTTCTCTACCCAGAGAAAAAGGAACAAGCTACCTTTGCATGATGTGAGAAAATGTGTTTTTTATTATTATTATTAAAGAGAACTTTGTACCATGTTGCACTAAATGTTTTATACAACACACATGCAAGCTGTAGTAAACTTGTGTTAAAATTGTGATTTAATGTCCTGTGTTAATGGTTTTGAACTGTTAACAAAGCTTTTTTTATTAATACAATTCGGCTATCAATGTGCTGCTTATGTCAAGTTGGGTGTTCAACTGTAGCAAGCCACAACATTCTTGCTCTTACCATGGCTTGGCATCACTGCCATGGGCACACATCATAAGCATTGAACAAATGCCTACAATGACTCAACTGTGCAGAATCTGTTCTCCTTTCACTCTGAAAGCTAAGATTATGAAGGTATAACTTCACTGGGGCTTAGCTATAATGGCAAAGAGAGACCTGCTCTTCTATAAAGACTCAACAGTGCTGAGGAAGGAATGGGGAACTAAGCTAATGTTGCAGTATATTATTGGAGTTATGCAAAATATCTCCATGCTTAGCAATTGTTTATCATTTTTTATTCCTTAAGAGATTATCCTTCAGCGCATAGACTTTTTCAGTCTCAGAGCCAGTTTGTTCTAGTGGTTAAGACACCAGGCTAGAAGCCATGAGACCATGAGTACAAATCCCACTTTGACCATGCTGGGTGACCTTAGGCCAGTCATTCTTTCTCAGACCAACTCACCTCACTGGGTTTGAGGAAAATAGGAAGAGGGAATATTAGATATGCTCACCACCTTAAGTTATTTCTAAAAATAATAAAGGCAGGATTCAAATAAAAATATTAGTGATCTATGAGCAAGACATCTTCCATCCAACTGGGCCTATTTCAAAACGATTGGATTGAACGAGCAAAGTTTGCAAGATGCTAAGCAAAACTTTAATTCCTAAGGCCAAGGTGTAGCTCACTGCCTGCAAAGATGTTAGTCAAAAATCCACATAGTATGTAGGTAGGTATGTTTGTATGTATATCCCATCTTTATTATTTTTATATACATACTTTATATACAAATAACTCAAGGCAGCCACTAAATTCAGCATACCTTCCTCCTCCCATTTTCCCAACAACAACCCTGTGAGGTGAGTTGGGCTGAGAGACAGTGACTAGTCACCCAGCTGGCTTTCATGGCTAAGGCAGGACTTGAATTGCTTATATTAATGACATCAATTTGAAATAATGGATGAGAAGATACATTTCATTTTATTTGTACAGTTAGTTGGGACCTCTAATCTTCTGTGTTTTGTATTTAGAAATGTAGCAGAAGGATCTGAAACAAGGGAAACTTTTTGATAACGTGCATTAGGCTTTCTAGGGAGTGTGTAGGCAGATAAACATTGTCCCTGCTCCAGCTTTACTTTTTGGATTGTAGTTTTGGATGACCAGAAACAGCCATTAGTCCTCTAGCTGCAACTGGGCTGTTCTCCTCTCCCCCTTCCAGCTAAATTTTATATTATACTCAAATAAATTCTTAATTTTTTAACATTTTAGGGACAGATGGTGGTAGATTTTTCAGTAGTATTTACTGCCTAATTTAAATCACTATATGTATGCACTATTCATAGTTATAGTTTATAGGTAAATATTTTGTTTTGCTGAATTTTAACAGTTACTTCATCTCCAGCAGTAGGACTTTTAGGTAGTCAAACTGAGATGATAGAGTTCCTTAGCTACTTTTTCCAGTCGGTCTCTGTATTCAATGTTTTTATAGTTTTTTTCACTAACCCCTTTGAAGCCATACATTGCTCCCCACCAGCATGCAGCAATCGCCCCAGTGGAGTCACTGTCCCCGCCATGAAAGAAACCCCGCAGAGCCAACTCAGTCCAATTCTCAGAACCCAGGAAAGCATCATAGGCAATCATGGGCGCATCATGGCCACTACTACCTCCCCACCCTGAGAAACTCAAGGAAGTGTAGAATTCATCTCTCTCTTTCACACCAAATGTTTTAGGGAAGGAAGGAGGAGAGTTTCCATCTGAGATGCCTCTGATTTCCAGGTATCTCTTCCACTGGTCTTCAAAGTAGTTCCTGTGAAATAGAAATGCAAAGTTTCTATTGATATGCTAGATTTATGTAAATTAATGAATTTCATTTAAAAAAAATCTAACCACTCCACACTCCCTACTTAATATTTGGAAGATTATGGAGGAAAGTTGAAGTCCAACATAACAATAAAACTTTAGTTGGAAGATGTTGCCTTAGATGTACAAAATATAAAAAGGGAACCAATGTAATTAGAAGGCTTGAAGCATAAATTATCAAATAATTTGAGCAGCTGCAGCAATTGGGAATGTCTAGTTTAATGAAAAGAAGGAATAGGGGTAACATGATAGTAGTGTTCCAATATTTAGGGGGCTGCCACAAAGAAGAGGGGGGGTCAACCTATTCTCCAAAGCACCTGAAAGTAGAAGAAGCAATGGTTGGAAACTAATCAAGGAGAGAAGCAATCTAGAACTAAGGAGAAATTTATTTAGTTAAAACGTAGTATGGTAGCTCAGCGGTTAAGACACTAGGCTTGTTGGCTGGAAAGCCGACAGCCCAGATTCAAGACCAGAGCTCCATGCAACTGAGTGAGCATCCATCCTCGTGCCAGCTCCTGCCAACATAGCAGTTTGAAAGTATGCAAATGCTAGTAAATAGGTAACAGGTGGGAAGGTAACAGGACTCTGTGACATCATGCTGGCCACGGGACCACAGAAAAGTCTTCAGACAGCACTGGCTCAATGGCCTTGAAATGGAGATGAGCACCACTCCATAGTGGAATAAAATCTGCTAAAATCTTCCTTTTAGAACAATTGATCACTTGCCTTCATGAATGACTTGCCTTCAGAAGTTACGAGTGCTCCAACACTGGATGTTTTTAAGAAAAGATTGGGTAACCATTTGTCTGAAATAGTATAGGGTTACCTGCTTGAGCAGGGGGTTAGAGTAGAAAATCTCCAAGGTGCCTTCCAATTCTGTTATTGTTACCTTCTCCCCTCCATTCTGGGACTCTGTTCTCCAGTTGAGCGCTCAAATAAGGAAGGTATGTATACTACTCATAGATTATTCTTTTGTTCCAAAGTATCTATGTGGGTTCTCTGGATAGAATATATTTAATGCTTGCTCAGCACTATATAGTTACAAAAATATCAGTTATGCTTACCTTCCAACTATTAACAACCCAAATACCCATACTTACCAGTGCTCCAAATTTTTATCTACAAAGCAGCCAGACTTTTGGATATAGGCCTTTGCTTTAGGGATCACCTCCATTAGCCCTCTTCCCCATTCCTGTGGTGGTTTGTGATTCACCGCATAAGAAGTAAAAAGAGCAGATGCAAGGGATCCAAGATAACCAGTAGGATGATGGTGAGTCATTCGTCCACTCTCAACACTGACTGCAATTAATTTTTCCAGGTCTTCTGGTTGACAAAATCTTAGTCCAATGCACATCGACCTCATAGCAGCTCCACATCCTCCTCCCCTTTTACAGAAATTAGGTATCCAGCTATCTGAGTTATCTGGATCCAAATTCATAGCATAATGCATGCAGGTATCACCTATGAAAGATGGAACATTGTATCAGAACATGTTCATTATAAGCAGGCAACAAAAACAATAAAACACTGCAAATAGAACTTAGCCCAAACTTTTCCAAAAACATAGCTCCAAATGACTTAATACCATTATCAGAAAAATCTTCCCTGAATAACTTTTTGCTATGCCTGTCTTCTTACACAATGTAAAATAACCTTCACTGAGTATCTCTGAATATGTTTTCTTATAAGACCCATCATCCTTAATCAACCTGGCCAACATTGCCTGACGATGTAGTTTGCACTCCTGATACATTTTAAGAACACAGAATAGGGAAGCCTAGTTTACAAAATTAGTACTTAGTGATAATGATACTACTAAACTATCACAAAATTGTTGGCAAAAAGGAAGTGAAAACTAGCAATCCATTTCAATACAAATCCACTCGTGTATAAAAGCTTGTTTTACCACTGTGAAACTGAAAATTCTTAATGCTGTTCATAAATCTGAACAGCCTTAACAATATTGGTAAAGCAAGTAGGTTGAAGAAGCAGATAATTAAAATAATAAAACATCTAAGTATGTAATTAGATGTACACTTATATGGAATTAGGTCCCACTGAATAAAGAATATAGAGTATATAAGATGTAAGTGAATGGGAAACCCTTTAAATTTATACCAAAGTATGCATGTATTTCACCTAGAAGAGTTCACTTTTTTGAACTTTTTCCAAAGCTGTGCAACATCTGCAATACTCTGTATATGTCTTAAATGAAAATTCATTGAATCATTACACATATTCTAATTGCAAGGAGGGAGAGAGCTATTATGATGGAATGGCCTGCCTCTTTGGAGTCATAGGTGCTTCATTGTTTGAAGTTTATCTCTGATTGTTTGAGGATCCTGCTTTGACCAGGGATTCAAAGGTCTCTTCCAACCCTATGATTCCATGAATCAACCAGAATAGTTTTCAAATAGCTCACAATGTATTCCATGGTGAAAGGGTAAGAAAGCTAACACTATTGAAAAATAATGAAAGGATTATTTGACAACTTCTTTATTTCTGTATTTTTAATGAACATGTTTTAAGGTTCCACATAATGTAAATATATTTAAGAAATCCAGCAAGGAACTAGAGAGAAGTCCAAAGTATCTTTTGGGAGCAGAGGCAGTCACTCTCCCAATATCAGCTGCTAAAAATCTGCATGGGAGAGTGCTATTGGACTTTTGACAGGCTTTCCTTAGCAATGAGGGAAGCAGAATGTAGTACTTGAATGGTTAGAGCTTAATGATCTACAGTGGACATCTGGCTTTCAAAATCATAGGGCAATGTGGTTTGCACAGAAGAAAACTAAAACTTGTTCCCCATCATCTTAGAGAACAGAACAGAGAATGGTGTAAGTTACAGAAACGCATAAAAATTAGAGAACTGTTTAACAGTGGAACTAATTACTCAGAGAGATGGTAAGCTTCGCATAACTGAATAGGTTTAAACAAAGTCTGGGCAGGCATCAGCTGGAAGCATTTTAATGTAGTTGTTTGCATTAAACAGACAATCAGATTCACTATCTCTATGTGACCATGGCCAGTTCTATAACCCTTTAAGAGCTGAAAGGTATATAAGATGTATTTTTGTAAAGAAGGAGAATGTGAATTAATTTAATGACATGTGGTCTTCTATAGTTAAAAAAGAAAAAAAAAACCAATTTAAGTTGAAAAAATACTTCTTTAGGTAAATTATCTTCATTAATGTAATCAGATCCTGGAGAAACGTTTCTACCTAGCTACCAAGAATTTACAAAGCAAGGTTACTTTGCAGACTTTTCTGAAGATCAGGGCAATAGGAGGAATTTCCCTATGCCTTCTCCAGAAAGGGAAAATCCCTATGATTTGCAGAGTTTCAGGCTTGTAAAACAAGGTAGTTTACAGATGTATAAATTTCTCAAGAACAGAAAGCCCGCAAGCTGCTGTATAAGGAGATGCAAGAAGCCCAAACCATAGACATGGACTTTTCTAAAAGTCATTTAAAACTGTATTTCAGCTTAATTTGGAAGTTTTCAGGGGAATGATGGTACAGCATGCATACTTTGCCCACAATCCATCCTCAGTTATATTTTTCAGAGATACTCCTTATCTGAGTACCATAGCTGTGGTGTGTAGAGATAGGGGCCAGGTAGAGGTCGTGAGCAGCAAACTGCCCTTCCAAAGCCTGTGTGCCTCTTCTCTCTACATCAGTGTTTCTCAACCTTGACAATTTTAAGGCATGTGGACTTCAACTCCAGAATTCCACAGCCAGCATTGCTGGCTGTGGAATTCTGGGAGTTTAAGTCCACATGCCTTAAAATTGTCAAGGTTGAGAAACACTGCTCTACATGATCTCATCCATTCACATTGCCATGGCAATGTGGGAAACTACCCCAGGCTGATACAATGACCTCACCTACCTGATATCAGCTAGGTTACATCAACAGGATGTGGAAGAAACTGCTCCCTGGCTGGGGCCTCCTAGCTGGTATATTCTTAAGGATTAGCAAGGGGTTTCACCAATAGAAATGCTGTTACTATGCTGATGCCATGTTACTTTATGCTATTTGGAATACCTGTATAAAAGGAATAAACACTGCGAAGGCAGTCAGCCATATTTGCACCCTGCAATGACTGAGCACTGATTCCTACAGTGGTGCACAACCTGGAGCTAGCAGAATTTAGGTGTTCCCAGAATCCCTTCACAAATAGTCGCCAGGTTCTGTATTTTAATGAGACGTGAGCAGAATAGAAGAGAAACATTTAAATAATATAGAAACATATCAGATTAATTGCATTTTATTCATTTGATTCTCTTTGCACTTCCCATTTCACCTGACTTTATTTTCTCGTGGTATAACCCTTGCTTTTTAGAGGGTTATTTACTCTGTTTTATAAGCTGATTAAAATTTGTCTGGATAAAAGGGATATATAAATTTAAATAAATTTTCCTACTCAGTAAAATTCGAAAGGCAAGTATTAGGTTCACATGTCTATGGAGATTCTCAGTCATCCAGATCATGGCTGTCCTAAAGGTGCTTTTTTAAAGAGGCAACTGGACTTCCTTGTTGTTGTTTTTTAAGACATTTCGCTTCTCATCCAAGAAGCTTCTTGGATGAGAAATGAAATGTTTTCAAAGAAAAATAAGAAAGTCCAGTTGCTTCTTGAAAAAGCACCTTTGGGATATTAGGTTCACCCATTGCATGAAGCCAAACTATGGGTTCTTGGGTTTGGGTAATGTTCTTTGTGCAATGCACCCTACATTGACCTGTCCTTGAAGAGCATTTGAAAGTTTCAACTGGTAGAGAATGCGGCTGCATAGATAATAGTGTGTCACATATAATACCACTATGGTGTGAACTGTCACATATAATACCACTATGGTGTGAACTGCATTAGCTAGCAATGTGTTTCAGGGTACAATTCATGGTCCAGGCTATCACCTATAAAGCCCTACATGGCTTGGGACTGGGTTACCTAAGGGACTGTCTTTTCCCAATAGTTTCTACCACTCCAATCTGATCCAGCAGGCTGGGCATGGGGCATATTCCGCCAGCCAAGAAATGTCAACTGACAGGAACCAGAGGACATGACTTCTCAGCCATAGCTCCTGCTCCTTGGAACATCCTTCTTCAGAGATTAGAATGATCCTGACCCTGTTAGCCTTTCATGAGGCTTTAAAAACCTGGCTATGTGCCTGGGCCCTTAAATGTATTAAGGATGCCATGTCTTGGCTTTACTGGCAATTGTTAAAAATTTTCTCAGCTGTATATATTTATTTTGTATTGTTCAGCCAGAGTCACTTGGTTGAGATAGATGGCTATAGAAATTAAATAATGGCAGATGAACCATGATTTGTCAGTTAGCAAAATATATTACTGTAGCCTTAAATAAATGGGAATTTAAATAATGGCAGATGAACCATGATTTGTCAGTTAGCAAAATATATTACTGTAGCCTTAAATAAATGGGAATTTAACCAGTAATATAGTAATCCTCATCACAAATCTGGTCCCAAGGCACTCCAGAATAGTCAGCTTTTAGTTGCTTTCTGAAAAATCAGTTGGAAACTATCTGATCTTGGAAAGAAGGCTGTTCCAGAGAAGGAGGAATCACAGCTAAGAAAATCTGTTTCTATGGTGGTCAAATGAACACAGAAACTACCCTCTTTCCAATCACACTGAGAAAAGATGGCCCATTAGTTATCCTAAGCCATGTTTGAATTACCACATCTGGAATTGCATCTGGAAGAGAACTGATAAACAGTGCAATTCTCACAATAGAGGCTTTGCATGAGAAAACCCAGCGACTCCCATCACTATACAAACCACTGCATTCTGGACCAGTCAAAGCTTTCAAGATTCTTCAATATATTTGATTGGAAAGGAAAATACCACAATATACTTGAACCAGATGTTGGTATGTTTCTTTAGGTGCTTGAAGAGGATGCTGTGTCCTGATTAAGAAAAGGAATTATTATGTAGGGAAGAGAAGTTGCTAACTGTATTAGGAGGAAGAATTGAGTAATGAAGTAAATATTTGGATATTTTGTTTTGAGTTCATTTCATTCTTTCTTACATCTCTGCTAACATTCTACACACTGCTATTTTCCAGATAGGTCCCATCATTCCCAATCAACATACCCAGTGCCCTGAGAGAGTGGGGGTGTTTATTCCATCTGGAACCATATGGTGTTATCTCTCTAATAAGATCTGACTGGAAAAAAAATAAATTGAGTATGGACTGTGGCTACTAAAGCATCCAATAATTTTCAGCAATTGTAGCCAGAAATGGCTCTGGCGGTCACAAAAAGTAGATTTACCAGCAGTATTAGGGCCTACTTTAAAGCAGGAATGATAAAAAAGGCCAATAAACAAAGCTGTAAAATGGAGTTTTTCCAACAGTGAAGCAGAATACACCTGGTAAAGCATGATATTTGAGAAATACTATTTCATTCATTCTTATGGAAACATTTTGAAAACATACCTGGAGCTCGTCCATCCATGTCACTCATGCAATCTCTGTAGTTTGTTGCAAGGAGTTTGTACAAGTGGAATAACTCTGGGTTTTTGCCAGCAGCAGCCAAGGCTTCAGCAGTAGCTAAGTGCATAATGGTGTCATCACTGACCTTCCAACCTTTTATATTAAGATGGTCCACGCCACCCATTTTGGCTACTTCGTTGTGAATTTTTTCACCACTGCGTTGGAATTCCCATTTTGCATTACAAAAGCCTAGGGCATCTCCAGCTGCACTCAACACCATGGCAGCCACATAGTTCTCCATCAGGACAGAGCACATGTTGTGTTGCCACAGTAAGATTATAATCAAGAAAATCTAAAATAAATACAAGTTAAAAAGCACACTATGATTTACCAACACATCTCAATTCCATAAATTTCAACTGCTTTATTCTATGCATTATCTTTTTTATATAATTACTTGGACAAACAACACTTAAAAATGATTTTTAAAAAGTGCTTCAGAACTTAAGAAAAAAAAAGATATAAGCAAAGCTCCTGTATGCTGTTCACTAAAGCAGCATACAGATGTTTTTAGATTTCTGCATGAATTTGAAAGAAAAAAGAGTCAACTCGTGTAGAAACCTAAAAAAGTATAGGCTGCTTTAATGAATAATATAAAGATTCTGCTCTCAGGAGGTGTGAAGACCAAATAATACTCATTCTCAGTTATTGAGTACAGGTGTTATCCACAACCAATGGGGAAAAATTATGTATTGTTTAACACATACTTTCTCATGCATGAAACAAAACTAAACAAAATAAAAGGTTGCTTTTAAGCGAGACCATTTAAAACAAGGACTTTATTTCAATTCTTTCTAGAGCCTGACACTGGAGGTAAATCATCTCCTTTCTGCCACTTTCATTGTGGAAAAACTCTGCTCCATCTTTTCAATTTAGTCAATGAATGAAAAGTTCTAACACTGACTAAATCCTGAAATAAATTCCTGGTTCATTTTATCCAAATGAAAAATGATTATTGGTCCATTTAAAGTTTCCCCCCATTTTTTGTGTGTGTTGCATACATTTAGCCCCCAAAGCAAAACAAAACAAATCTAAAAGCCAGGAGCAGACACAAGAGTCAATAGTACCATAGTCAATTTTGCTATATATATGAATGATTTTTGTATATATATGTGTATATATGTATGTATGTGTGTGTGTGTGTATGTATGTGTGTGTTGGTGGGATTCAGCCAGTTCGCACCACTTTGGCAGAACCATTTAATTTTTTGTTGCCCAGGCGCAGAACGGACTTCCGGAAGCAGCATCCACATATATATATATATAACTTTTTTGTCATAGAACGCACCGGAACAGAGTTCCGGCAGCTTTTTTGACGGATTTTCCAGAGTTGCGTTCTTTTCCTATTGTTTCCCTTCCTGTCATTTGTTTTTGAAAATGCCCCGCTTGCAGTACAGTGTGAGCGGGATCCCCTCTGGCGCTGTCTGCCTCCTCTAGGAGGAGCCATGAGGTGCCGGAGCACCACAGCGAGAGCGTGACTTGATTGGCTGGGTCAGACCATGTGGTATGGAAGCCGATGGTGGCGGTGAGAGACACATAAACATGGAGGGTGAGCGGGCCTTTTGCCTTCCCTTACAGAATGTGTGTGGGGGGTGTGAGGTTAAAAAGAGGCAAGCGAGAGGAAAGAAAGACGGCTAGCGTGGAAGCTTGCCTGACAGTGAAACTTTGCTGTTTCAGTTCCTTGGGTAGTTCAAAGGCTGGGATGTCTACGAAAATCTCTTTTTAGTCTTTTATACTTTATATTCAAACTGTAGAGGGGAAGAATAAGAATAAAGCCAATGTCTTATGTTTTGGAGATATTATTAATAATAATAATATATATTAATTATATATTGGTCAGATGTAAAGGTAGACCTACAGTATAAGGTTTAATCAGATCTATTTATTAAATTGGGTTTAACTTAAAGGTAAATTAAAAGTAATCTGTTCACTAACAAAAGTTTCAACTTTAATTTGTTTCAGGTCAATATCCATATTAAACTCCAAATGTAAATTTTTCCACCTTGTTTGACAACTTCTTAAAAACAATTCAATCTTTTACAAGCAACCAAATTTTGTTTTATTGGGCCAATTTCATTCCACACAGAAAGCTGACATTTCCACTCATTAAACTAAATGGGTATGCCAGTGGTAAATGTCCCAAAAGATTAATAAAATGCCTTCTTGTTATCTAAAGCCACACAGTGTATGGTAACATTAATAGTATTAATTCACGTTGAACAAAATCCTAGTCTTTTAAATACACTAAAAACTGAAGGGGTTTTTTTTTTCAACTACAAAGGTAAAACTTGTAGGGTAGGCAAGGCGGGTTGTATGACGTGTGAGTTGCATCACTTTTTTTTTTTTTACAAAAAAAGCACACACACACACCCATGATGAAATTCAGGTTGCAAAACAATACTAGGATCGTCATGTTCATCAGGGGAAGGAAGATTGGTATACAGCAACACTGCAGAATATTCTGCTGGTTTTAAAAAAAAACAGATTTGGAGCAAAGGCAGTATCAACCCAGCTCTTTTATGAGTTTAGGTCAGCGGTTCTCAACCTATGGGTCGCGACCCCATTTGGGGTCGATCGACCATTTCATGGGGGTCGCAAAGCAAGGCTGTCTGCCATTTTTTTCCCCTTTTCCGGCGGGTGCCTTATCTCCCTTGGGCTGGGCCAGCTGGTGGTCGGCCTGCTCCGTCTCTGCCGCTTGCCAGCTATGCCTTGGCCGGCGCAGGGGGCGGAACCACGCATGCGCGGTGCTCCCGGACAGGGAAAGTCCTCGACTTATGACCGGTTGGGTAGTCCTCGACTTACGACCGGTTTAGTCCTCGACTTACGACTGGTTTAGTCCTCAACTTACGACCGGTTTAGTCCTCGACTTACGACCGGTTGGGGGTCGCGGCATTAAAAAGGTTGAGAGCCACTGGTTTAGGTACTGTGTACACACTATGAAGACAGGCTAATTCAGTAACCAAGTTTAAGCAAGCTGTGCAGCGGAAGCTACTAAGAGAACTAGTGCTCCGAGAGAAGGAACCCTCAACAAGGGAAGCTGTCAAGTTTACGAAAAGGCGTTGTTACTGGGGGGGGAGGAAAGGGAAGAGATCAATTCAATTGATCTATCAGCACCCCGAGGCTCGTCGCATTTAGCTTGCCACTAAGCCACAAGGCGGCAAGGGACGGGCAGAATTAAGCAATAGTTTCGGAAACCAGGCGCATTGAATTAGACAATCCTCCCAGTCTCGTCGAAAGTCCTGCCACAGCACATTATGACTTTCGTTAAACCGAATAAAGATTTCCGCTGCTCGCCACTCCGGGTTCTTGCTAGCAGTGGTTGAGGCCCAACTGCCTCCGACGGAGCCGTGTCTGGGCTTGCAGAGAATGTGGCTCTCGGGGGTGTTTCTTCGCGAAAAGCTCCAGAAAGGGGTAAGTGGGGCGGGCTCCGCTCTCCAGCGGGTTGCGCAAACCACAGGCTGGGTTTTATATCTCGTTCTTCCGCTTTCTCTCAGCCTTAATTCGTGGCTGCAGTCTTGTGCCACAATCGCTAGGAGCAAACCCTTAAAAACCCCGGGTATGTTTCCGAATACACGTGATTCTTTTTGATTTAATAAAAATCCACCTGATTCGATTGCTGCAATACTAATAATCGCCCTGGCTTATTAAGGACTAGAGTTCGTTAAATAAGACAGCGGGACACGCTTCAAGAGTTCGGGGAGTCCCTGTTTAAGGCTATCACCCAATGTCTGCTCGTTTTAGGAGCAGGTGCGGGGTGGTGGGGGGCGGTCACTTCTGAATGCACAAGGTTGTGTAACCGGAAAAATACAGAAATTCGGGAAAAGTAGTGGAGGGAGCAGGACCACGCCCGGTATCTTGGTTACAACCGGGCCCTACCTTGGGTTATTTTAAATAAATGACTCAGCCATACTTACAATGACAGCGATCGCGGTTTCGCACCTGAAACTCCCAAGAAAACAGGAGCGAGAAGCGGCGGCGGCGGCGGCGGCTAATCTACTGCCGCGAGTGGCCGTAAGCCAAAGTTGCAGCCGGTTCTTGGAGAACGGAGTTTGAAGGATAGCGCCGAAAGAAGCGTCTCCCTTTCAAACGATCGTTGCTGTTGCTTCTCGGGAAGTTTTGTCTGGATGTCGTCTGGGTGGCAGAAAGCGAAACCCAACAGTAAAGTTTCCGCCCTATGGGCGCTGTGTATATATAAGACTGAGAAGTAGCCAAGCGGATGGGACGTTGGTGGAAAACTTCCGTTTTTCTCAGCTAAGCTGACAGTGTTTCTCAACCTTGACAATTTTAAGGCATGTGGACTTCAACTCCCAGAATTCCACAGCCAGCAATGCTGGCTGTGGAATTCTGGGAGTTGAAGTCCACATGCCTTAAAATTGTCAAGGTTGAGAAACACTGGTAAGCAGAACACGGAAACAAATATGTGGAGCACCCTCCTTCCTATCCGGGTCTAAGTAGATTCCTCTGAATGAGGTGGGCAATCAAAGCCTTTTCAGGAAATTGATTTAGTTATAAAATTTATTGGCTGCCCATCTTACCATAAGGTAACTCTGGGCGGCTTACAGTTACATCTAAGCTAAGATATAAAAAGTTAAAAACAAACATTAAAACCAAAAGACACATGGGGAAGGCAGGGAGGTGGGATCTGTTATTAATCAACTACCTCCACTGCATTGATCCCCCACTGGGGCCCCAAACTGAGTGGCAAAGTCACTACTTTGGGCGATTTCGAAAAAACAGGGCAGGGGCCAACCTCACATGGGGGGGTGGGGGAACAAGATTATAATATTAGAAAATAAATCTATTATTATCTCTCATCTGCAATAAGATGATCCAGAGGGCAGGAGCAACAGCACAGAAAGCCCTCTAGGAAATCCTAGGGAAGTGCTAACAGAGCAACTTTCCATACTTCTAATCTAAAACTTTAAAATTTATTTTTTATCTAACAATATAATGATGTGACAAATAATTTAAAATCAAACGTAAACATTGAGATTAAAATTTAATTTTTAATCTAAAAACAACGGTATGCTGCTCCCCCTTCATAGAGAATGCCCTAATTAGTTTGCAGCATAGATGCACACACAAATGAAAATGGAGGATAAAATAAAATTAAACCACAAATAAGGTAACTTCATTTTAAAGCCCTGGTCCCTTTGACAAATAGATTGCATACTGATCACCCCCCAAGTGCCAGATATACAAATCCCTGATAGCAGTTATATCACAAGGGTGAGACAGGCTTTTCCCACAGATTTGAATAGTTTACTGATGATAAAATCTTTCAGATTATTAGGCCCTGGCCTAAACCATTATGGGTTTTAGGAGAAATATTATCACAGCTTAAATTTGGCCTGCTAAATAACTAGTAACCAGTACAGACACCATGTCATCTTGGTTCTTTGCATAGGTTAGTGGTATATTGAAAGCCACCTGCAACTTCTAGAGATTTCAAAGGTTTTGCCAACGCAGGATGTGATCAGGACATTTAACTGACTGCTATCAAACCTGACTGGATCAGAAAAGGTCATAGCTTGCAGAAATAATTGTGGAAATGTTCAAAGATTCAAAAGGTTGAGAATAGGCTGAATGTCATTCTCTGGGATTCCTGCTGAACCAGCTCTCATAATCTGTATACTTTAAATCTAAGTGTATGTATGAATGAGTGTTAAAAGGTGTGGTGGTGCAGTGGTTATAATCCAGTACTGCAGGCTAATTCTGCTGACTGCTGGCAGTTTGATTCTCACCAGCTCCAAGTTGACTCAGCCTTCCATCCTTCCAAGATTGGTAAAATGAGGACTCAGATTGTAGGGGGCAATATGCTGACCCTATAAACCACTTAGAGAGGGCTGTAAAGCACTGTGAAGTGGTATATAAGTCTAAGTGCTATTGTTATTGCTACTCTTCCAGGCCTCTTTTTTTCTTTCTTTCATATTGGCTTGAGGGTGGGGATGAGCAAAAAGAAACATTTCTTGGAGGAAGCTTGCAGTTTCTCTTTTCCCTCCATTCTGCTTAACAGGGAATCCCCAAAGGATTTAACTTTGAAAGAAGCTGAACACGCCCTGGTTTACTTCAGGCTTATCTGATATATCAAAGGGAATTTCTGTTGCCCCTTTCTCCAGCTAGATTTCAAAGTACTCTGTGATTCTGGAAGATACTTCAAAACACTTAGAAGAATCTAGCGGTTCTGGAAGTCATTTCTAGTTTGGGTAGGAAACATTATACTTGGTAAGGATATCCTAACCTTAATCTTCTCTTTTTCTAACAAATTCCTTGGATGTTTCCAACTTTATTGTTGTTGTTTGTTGTTGTTGTTGTTGTTGTTGTTGTTATTATTATTATTATTATTATTATTATTATTATTATTATTATTATTCTGAAGACTCTGCTCTGGCCACCTCAGGATTCTTTAGATTAAGGACTGTAGCTGTAGTTGTACATTTTTATGATATGTCATATTTGAGGTTATTTTTGTTTTGAAAAGGAAGAGCCATACAAAGAAAGAAACTGGTACATTAATAATATCAAAGAGAAATCATTAGACTTAAATAAATTTTCAGCAAAATATGGTTTGATTAAATGAGATTATTTTGCACTGTGGAATGTATATTTTCAGGATTAGATCATTCACCTTTCTTGAGAAGAAGTTTAAATATGACCAGAGCTACTTTTTTAGTCTATTAACTGTAGTGGATATATTGAACATGCATTTATTAATATTGTACATCATGACTGGACCAGATCCACAAGACTTCCACTATTCTTATCAACAATGAGCCTAGCCAATAAAGAACAGGCTTCAGTCTATACATCCAGATGTGAAGAATAAATCTCCAAAAGTATCATTAATCACATTTTGTACAATTTAAAATGTTAAACATTTCCAGAAGAGCAGCTGTTGTATGTTATTGTTGTATGTTGTTACATGTTTGAGGTCATAGTTTGTTTTATCATGTATGTGGAGCAATATCCTGAAATTAGAGTTGTATGAGAGTAAATTTTCACAGAGATTTGTAGTGGAACAATAGTTATACCTAGTTGGAACGAGTGAATAATCATGATCAGCTGCTTTAAGAAGGTTGTTTGATTTCTGGGTCAGGTTGTGCATGTTTGCTTTATCATGTTGAATGAAGTGCTTGCTTGCTGATCCCACGATCTATGGAGGAAAGGTTTACATGTGCGGTTGATGAACTGAATCAGTCCTACCAAGTACCCTTCATAAAAAGGAGAGGCAGTTGGGAATGTGTGATTGCAATTAGCAAACAGGAGTGTTTATGAACGTCTGTTCTTTTTACCAAAAGGAGAGGAGGAGGAGGAGGAACTTGGGTATATTAATCTTCTACTTCCATAAATTCAATGTAAATTTAGTATGTAAGAAAGTCAGGACTCTTAACTCTGAAGGAAAAAAATATAGCATGGCACCTTTTGTTTTGATTACAAAGTTTGGAATAACAAAACTCAAGTTACCAATAAGTTACTTTCCAGGTTATTGCTAGCATAAGAACTGTATGGTTATCTGCCTTAAGGCATAGTTTATATTTTCCTCTAGCTTTCATAAAGAAAATATGTTTCTCTGGAACCAAGGTACTTGAAGTAGAGATCTTTTGGCAGAAAGAGAAATATATAAATTAAGACTTTTCAGAATGGAATAACTTGGTCCCACGTACAGGATGATCAATTCTTTACTGTCAAGGAAATGGAGGCTCTTGTTGACATCATTTTGAGGATAAAAGAGATACTATCATAGGAAGAACCAATCCTTGGGTGATGTCAAGAGGTCAGGTTTAAAAAAAACTGGCAGAGTCTTGGACTTTTCTACAGTTAAGGATATCATAAACAGACTTTTGAAAACCTGTCAAATCCCCTTTTTTCTTCAATTTATGTCTTAACACAGTCCAGATAGAGATGCTTAGAGTTTCTTTCACATGTTTATGCTTTCCTAGGACTCACAACATCTTTTTCTGTAACAGCTCCCCCTTCTCCAAAACATTACTTTTCCCACCAGAATCTCTTCTGCTTCCTGTCCAATATCAGTGAATAAGTCTGAGATGGAAGATTTAGAGGAAACTGCAATGCGCTCCACCACTCTTGTATCCTAGCAACAGGAACTGGTGGCAGGAACTGAGTAGTCTTTTTGGTCATCATTGCCTAGGGACAGGGCTTGCAAGGATATTTCAGAGGCAGCTGGTGGACAAGTTTGGTGTATGGGTGTCTTCTACTACTTCACTGGATTACTTTGTGTCAGAGTAGCCTTTCCAGTAAATCAAATGCTGTGATTCCTTAATGATTGCAGAACAAGTCCATATAATTTTCTTGGCAACATTTTCAGAGTAGCCTGCCAGTACCTTCTTTCTAGGGTTGAGAAAGAGTAACTGGCCTAAAATCACCAGCTGGCTTTGTGCCTAAGCAGAACTAGAACGCACGGTCTCCTGGCATTTAATCATTATACCAAATTGCACCTTTATCAAATTGTCTCTCACCTTACTAGTTTTGGCTCTAACAATAATTTTTTCTCCGTGAGCTCAACATTATGCTTAATGTTATTGAATCACCACTAAACTTTTTAAAATGGGGATTTCTCTAAATAGGAATAGGCCAGCATTGTCTTATGGTCTGCCTAGAGCAGTGATGGCGAACCTTTTAGAGACTGAGTGCCCAAACTGCAACCCAAAACCCACTTATGCATCGTCGAGTGCCGGGTGGATGTGGCCCATTGGGTGGGCATGGCCAATTGGGTGGGCATGGCTGCGGTGGTAACGGCAGAGTGGGCGGGACTAAAAAGTTCAATCAATCAATTTCAACTTTGCAAGATCTTTTTTTCCCCGCGAGAAGTTGAAATTGACTGATTGAACCTTTTTTTTTTTTTGCACATGGTGGAGGCCTAAAGCAAAAAGGTTTTATAAAACCCAGCTGAAGGCCTAGGACTGGGGCGACGGCACGCGTGCCCACAGAGAGGGCTCTGAGTGCCACCTCTGGCACCCGTGCCATAGGTTTGCCATCACTGGCCTAGAGCCTTACATTTTTACATAGAAGGTTATTTTGAGATGGTTTGTTACATGAATAGTTATGCATTTTTAATTTTTTCACTGTCTAATATATAAAGTTAAAATGGATTTTTACATTCTCTCTTTTCCTTGTTATTAAAATTATCCTAACTTATTATTCAGTTCTTCTCTTTCCCAAAGGGGAGAAGGAAAGGGACTGACTTCCCTAGCTACCTGCCTCAGTGATGCAAGGTCAGAAGGAGACACTATAGATTTTTTTGCTCATTGCATTCTTTTAAATTTGCCAGAAAAGTAATACAAGTTATGGGTGCCCTGTCTCTTACATGCAGGAATTAGTGGAAGGATATCAGATGAGTTATTGGTAGCAGGAACTACCTAGCTACTATACCCAAATAGGAGGGATAGCTGGGAATAGAGGCCCAAAGGACTTACAGGAACAAGATTTGAAATTCTTTCCCAATAGACTCAGTCTTGCTGCTGCTCTAGTTTTAAACCGTTCTTTCAATAACTTGCTGACCATTCCGTTTTTCTCTCAATGCATGTGCATTGTCATATAGTTATTTTCTTTGCAACTTATGGGAAAAAGCAATATTGAGTAGTGACATGAGTTAAAATACTATAATTTCTCTCTTTCCAATTATTGTCACAACCCCCTTATCCAGAAGGGGCATCCTGCTGAATAACATGCACCTCATTGGCTGTTTCCTCTTGAAATAGTCTGTGGTAAGAGAAAAATGGTCAACAGTATAAACTTTATTTTTGGACATTTGTTCTATATTCTATATTTTTGAGAACTGAGAAATATTGGTACATAGCATAAGAGGAACAGATACAGGTTAGACATTCTCAAAAACTACCATTCAAACCAGAATATACCACTGCTAAATTTCAGAGATAGAGATTTAAATATTCTTTATGAGCCATACTCCACTATATGCAAAATACATCCCCTGAAGTTCATCTTTGGTATGATGTTTAATAACTTGTGAATGAGATTTAACTCTTTGTGTCATTCAAGCCCTTGAAGCAACTATTACCCTTAGAACAAGGCTCAAACTGACCCAAAATATCATAAGAAAGTTGGTTTGGATTATGTCAAGGCCATCTATTCTATAATTCTGTTCTTAGAATAGGATCTGGGAAACCCATAAGCACGATATGAGCACAAGGTTGTTGATCACATATGGAGATATTCACTATCTCTAATGCTAATATACAACCATAGGGATTAATAACTCACAGTAGCCTTATTCTCTATAAATGTGTTTGATCCTTTATCCAACTTGCTAATTACTACATCTTGTGATAGTAAATTAACCAGATACCATACAATCTAATATCGCTTTTAGGTGTTTTAAATTTTCTGCTATCCAACCTCAGAGCTTCAAGAAGAAGAACAGAATGCATTCTAGCCCATTTTCCTGCTGTGTGTATCAGTTTGTATATTTACATCATAATCACTTTAATTACTTTTCTTTCTCTACACTAATACACTACATTTTGCAAACTTTCCTCACAGACTTGCTCTAGACCAGGGGTAGGCAACCTTGACTCTTTTATGACTCGTGGACCTCAACTCCCAGAATTCCTGAGCCAGCCATGCTGAAGGGAAAGGGAGAGGTTTCCAAGCTGAGCCATGCTGGCTCAGGAATTCTGGGAGTTGAAGTCCATGAGTCATAAAAGAGCCAAGGTTGCCTACCCCTGCTCTAGACAATGTTCCAGTTGTGGTTAGTAATAGAGTTGGTGGTGATGTGCTTCTTATACGTGGGATGCCTCAGGGCTCTGGCCTCTTCCCTTTCCTATTTATCATCTACATGAGGCCTCTGAATAAGTCATTCAACAGCATGGGGTGCAGTACCATCAGTATGAGGATAATAGTCAATTATACATCTCAGGTAGGCATGCCAGGCAGATGATAGCATTCTGGTGTCTATCCAGTACCTGGAGACTGAGGGTCTGGGTGGAAAAAACCAGCTTCAACTCAATTCTGGAATGCAGTGGAAAAAACCAGCTTCAACTCAATTCTGGAATGCAGTGGCTTTGCATCCTTGCCACCCACCCACCCCGGGTCCAGTGAATTGTCATCCTCGATTTTCTATAGGGCAGCACTTCTTCATAGAAAGGTGGAGGGCAATTTGAGGGTCTTCTTGGAATCATGGTTCCTGCTCAAGTAGCATATGGCAATCAGGCTGGGGGGGGAGCTTTTTCCAGGTTCAGCTTGTG